TAGTTCTCCATCGCAAAATACGCGGGAGAGCTGAGGAAGAGACAACCTTGCAGTAATTCAGGTCCGCCATTCTAGGAATTAATTCATATACCCAAATCTACACAATTCACAGGACACAAGTTATTATTTAAGTTTTAAAGTCAACAAAACATAACGACATGAACATTATTACCATGTACTTGGAAAGCTTACGTGAAACCTTTAAAACTCCAGCCACCCCTTTGCACTTCACCATGGTTATCCTTCTTGCCCTTCTCATTTCTCCGGCTTGTTCCGGTTACCTTACTTTTCCCCTTACCTCTTCCCTCTTCATTTTCAAAGCTTTTCACATACTTTGTTGGTGCAGAAAACAGACTGTCTTGGGTTTTGTCAAACGACACCGAACCCTATAGAAACCTGTTGAATGCATCCAAATCCTCTACAAGGGTCAGGTAATTTAGATTGATGTTCAAATGTTTGTCCCTTCCCAAAACCACTAACTCAGCAAAGTAAACAAGAGCTAGCTTGTAGACGTCATCTTCCTCTGTGCACCTCACAAATGCTTCTTCTAAAGCATTACATGTAATTCCTTCGTCTATAAAATATCTTTTCTGAAGTCTAATTTCATCACTTTCTCCACTGGAAACTTCAGGAACTTCCCCAAAACGAAGCCCTGAGATCAAACAGAAATCCTGACGAGTGAACTGAGCAACGTCGCACCCTATTAAGAAACTCAGTCCATCCAAGTCTTTCACACCCTGCCCCGCTACTCTACGCAACACAACCCCATGCACAATCTGCCCGCTAAACTGAATCTTATCTATATTCAGAAGATGGCCAAAGCATGATGTCTTGAATTGTTCTAATTGTTCGGCACTCAACTTCGCTCGAATTACAGCTAGGGATGAATTTGCATGTGAGCAGTTGTTCACCCGTGAGGAATATGCCTCTGACTCTGGCCATACCAGCTCAACGTTGGATCCCATTTCCTGAAATACAAGATGAAATAACGTGAACACATATACTACCACGTATTTGCACAATCACATTGGTATTTACACAACTAGTCAACCAGCACATTACAAATTTTACAAAGTACATGCGCATAGGGATTACTGATCACAAGCTTTAACATCATCAAAGCAATATGACATATTTTGTGCAAATACCTGTTAATGCAATGATTCTGTGAATTACAAGCACTAGCATGTGTTTTATTTATGGATCCAAACTCCAATCAATGGTTGATGCATGAGTGAGTGTGAGTGCAATCTAGGCAAGTTCTGCACTTCACACACATGACAATTATTGTCATTTCATACACAACACAAAATAAATAAATAAATAAATGAGAAAGATGGTGGAAGGAAGCAAAGCAAAGCATCTGCTCTGCTATCTGCTCGCTAAGCTATTGCCACATCCTTCTTTCTTTCTAGCTTTTTCTTCAGTCAGCCATAATCGTCATAGATCAAACCTTTTTTCAAATGCTTTGCACTTTTATTCATGAGTTTATTATTATCTGTTCTCATTTTTAACAGGCAAATTTAGTAACAACGGAAATAATATTTATTTCAAAAATTATATATATTCTAGCGCCAGAGAGATAATCTTGGAATTGCAACAAGTGTTATCCCGTTACATGAGAGTTTACCCTCCATCTTTAGAGAGACCAACTTGTGTATCATCTCTCTAATAGAGATGGGACCCATAGTATTGGTGGGCTCCACCTTCATTAGAGAGTAGAGAGATGATACACAAAAGATGTTTTTACAAAAATAAAATTTAAATATTGTATTTAAATGTCATTTCGAATTCGCACGCTTGGTGAAGAAATGGTTAAGTATGTATTTAAATGTCCTTTTTAAACTAGCGAATCTTGAGTGCTTTGATTCTTTTGTCGACGGTGAACTGCCCAAGCATGGCTTTCTTCAACAAGTTGGCTCAGTAGAGACTGAGAGTTCAAATGCAGTTGCTCAACCTTTCTTTGTTGCATGACTCCTTCCCAGTTGTGGAAGCCAACTTGGGTTTCGATTTGGGTATGTAGTCATGCCTTTACCCGGATATAAGCAACTTTTGAATTATTGTCAAGGGTTTCTTATTTTAGAAAGTCAAACATCTGGGCTTGTTTCTGGTTTGACTTGAGCTTCCATTGTTAAGTCTTTCTATTTATGAATTTAAGCGGCCCAAAGCCCATTTGTACTTTTAAAAAAAATTAATGGGTTTTTTTAATCTAATTTAGGCCCAAACAAGACCTTAGAATTTAAACAAGGGAGCTTCTACAATGAGGAGTTAAAGTGAGGAGGTTATTTGAGGAGACCGATCCGACCGTCAAAACATTTAAAATATTTAAGTCCCATGATTTCTTTACATTTGTTGATGGTGAGATTTGACATCCTCAAATAACCTCCTCACTTTAAACCCTCATTATAGCCTTTCCGCAATGCAGATAGTAGTTGAGGTACAGTGAAAATCATAGGCCCACCAAAATAACAAAAGTGGGCCCGTATATCTGGAGGATCTTAAATGTTTTTGAGCCGGCTAGGAAATCTGGGATTAGGAAAATGGGGAATTTGAGGAATGCATTTAGGAAGAAGGGTACATCTAAGATGAGAAGTGAAAGGAATGGGAGCTTTAGGCATGCGAGATTTAGGAAGCTAGGCGGATCTAGGATTTTTACTTCCAAGGGTCGACACGTAAAGTATCACAAATCTTTTTTTAGACAAAACTGACCTGTAAAAAAAACATATAAAATCAACACTTATTTACTATTTGCAAATAGTCTTATTAAGGACCTTAGCATATAAAAAATATGCTTTAAGATAGGCTCATAATCAATTTATGTTAGCAATTGTTTGTATTGCTAGTTAAGATTATTATGACTTGCTATAATAACTTTTAAATACATCATAAAGCCAGCAAAATTATTTGGGTGGGTAGGGTTTGCGTTGGGGAATTGAGTTGCTTTGGGGGAAATATGTTTGACTTTGGGGGGTTATTGGCCTCCTCTTTTGTTTTGTTTTTTTTTTTTCTCCTTGTTTAAAGAATAAATAAATAATAAAAGAAGAACAGACATGCATGCAAGCTGCCGCTAAGCCTTTATTTGGACCATTACATCGAACAGATGGTTGGCATGACTTGTCCAGCCATCCGCCACATGCAGGGGGCCTCTAAGGAATTTTTTGGCGAGGGAATGTGCAGGAGCTGAACCTCATTATGCCTTTAGAGCATGTCCACCGCTGCACCAAACCTGGGCAAAAGGCCCCCCTGGCAGCCCATTTTCAGCTCCAGCGCACAACAATGAGCCCAGGCAAATGGTGGGTCCCACCAGCCTGGGCAAGTCCACGGGCTAATCTTGCCTGGGCACCAAAACTCGGGCTGCTGACGTCAGCAGCTGATTATCAATTTTTTTTTAATTGTTGGACCCACCAGCCCACATTGCCCAATGATTACAAGCCATGTGGCTTCTGCTGGAGCCTCCGATCAAAAAATCTTGCACAATCCAACGGTTGTCCAATTTTTGGCTAAAAAAAATTGAAAAAAATATCAAAAAATATTTAAAAAAATATCAAAAAATTCTGGAAATTTTTTCTATACATACCTACCAATATTGTTCACTTTCCACACCAATTTAATTTCAAAATTTTATCCGAAAATGTTATCTTGATTTTTAGGTGAGGATTTTACGATAAATATTAACACTTGGGAATTGAAAATCTTATCTAAAAAGCTTATCAAAATCAATGGTTTAAGAATAAAAAATAAAAAATAAATTTAAGTGAATAGTAATTGCCTTAGACTTGCCCTAGACTTAGCCCTCATGGGTGGAACCACAAATGGCAAGGCTAACACTATTCACATGAATAGTGGCAGCCCTTGCTTGCCCTTGCCATAGACTTAGCCCTTATGGGTGGAGATGCTCTTATGGCTCCGATACTATGTTATGCTTCTTCTTTTTTTATATCAAGGATATGTTATGCTTTTTAGAGCTCCAGGAAATGAGACTAGTACACAGAAAGGTTACAAAACTGTGGTGCATCTTATATCATTAGAGCACTTCTACCCCTACGGGCAAAGGCAAGGTAAGAGTAAGGCAAGGGCTGTCACTATTCATGTAGTGGCAGCCTTTGCAATTTTGTTTCCACCCCTATAAGCTAGAGCAAGGGCAATTACTATTTACATGAGATATGATGAGATGAATTTGTATAGAGTTTTTGGTGTGGGAAGTTAAGAATATGGCTAGGTATTTATATATAAAAAATTTCTAAAGTTTTTTGTTTTTTTTTTTATTGCTGACATCATTATGACGTCAGCATTGTGTCAGAAGCCTTCGGGCAACAACCCAAGCAATTCTTGCCCATGGGCTTGCCTAGGCTTGTGGGACCCACCCCTTGCTAGGGCTGGACTTGGCGCCCTGGAGCTACAATATTGCCCTTGGGACCCTTCCTACCTAGGTATGCCCTGCGCGGTGGATTATAAAGTGAACCCTTTATAACTTATCTCTTATAACTTACCTCTCATTATAGTCTGAGCACCGCTTCCCTCTTTGTCACCTGCTTTTTGACAAAGATGGCATGTCCCATCATTTCCCCGCAAAGCCCACGAAATTGCCACAAGGTAGAAAGCTAGCAAACAATAATAATGTGGCTCTCACACACCTGACTAAACAATAATTTTGACCAATATTCAACAAAGAATCTTCAGCATGCCATTGTCCCGCACTTCCAATTCAGAGCATGGAATTGGCCTTCGCGTCAATGATCACTTGGAAGAAATTCATTGGCAATATGCAAAAGCGGGTCCCAAGGGATTTGGCATATATCTATCAAGCTCCTGTCAAACGCGGCTTTGACCTCTAAGTCGTGACGATAGAAATGCATCAGCTGCTTGACCAAAGCTAGCTAGCGGATTGAAGAAGTGTGTCTAAAAATTTCTCTCTCCATGGCAAGCACTTGCAGATTATGCGTTCTCGTTATAGTAAGTGTATTACTACTTGGTCTTAGTGCCTTGTTTGTCTATCTTTTTTTTGTTGAATTAGACTATATAACTAGTAGTCGGTCCATGGTATGTGCGGATAGTGTGACCGTACAGGGCCACCAAATATTTTTAGAAGCCCAATATTATATTATATATTTTCTGCTACTTTTCGTTTTAAGCAAATTTTTGTTTCAAAACATTACTTTTTACTTCTAACGAGCAGATTTTTGTTCCAAGTGTTAACAAATTAGAAGAAAAAAAATACTCGTGAGTTGTGTGTGTGTGCAGTGTGCTCTCCTTGCTATTCCCAAATCACTCTTCTTTCATTTGACTCCAAATTCACTTCTTCCAAACTTCTTCTTGACTCTCCTGTCCAAAAAAAAAAAATCTTCTTTACTCTTTGGCAAGGCAAAAAGCATGCTATATGTCTCTGCTTCTCCACCACACCTCTCTCTCATATTAGAAATAGTGGCGGAGCCAATCAAGGCCCACAAGGGTCACTTGACCCTTCTCAACATTTTCAAAACTTTATATTTATCTATGTTATCCAAGTTGTTTTATAGCTATATTTACTGTTGACAAATGTAAATTGTCTACAATAAACATGAATATGATCTATATTTGTTTGCATGTCTTCATATGTCATTATATGCATGTACCATTAATTTTATTTGATTTTCTCATTTTATCTAAAATCAACTTTTTATATTCTCTCATTATTTTTAGGTTGCTAGAATTTGGGTTATACTTACTAAGATATTAAATTTGTGATATTGAAATTTAATCATTATAATGAATTCTTAAATATATTTTCTTATAAAAACTAAGTTTAATGTAATTATAAAGCTATTTAAAGTTGACTCTCCTTAATAGAATTCCTGGTTCTGCCATTGATTATAATTTAGAAATTATGTGTTGCATTTGGAATTAGCCATCATATGATTGCAAGAACAAACCTAAAAAATCAGGTGAATAAGGAGATTGAAGGATAGGTTGAATGCCTACAACCCCC